ATGAAGTTTCACTCTTGTTGCCCAGGCTGGAGTGCAGTGGTGCGATCTTGGCTCACTGTAACCTCCAACTCCTGGTTTCAAGTGATTCTTCTGCCTCAGCCTCCCAAGTAGCTGGCATTACAGGCACCCACCACCATACCAGGCTAATTTTGTATTTTTAGTAGAGACAGGGTTTTTCCATGTTGGTCAGGCTGGTTTTGAACTCCTGACTTCAGGTGATCTACCCCCCTCAACCTCCCAAAGTGCTGGGAATACAGGCCAGACACCACACCCGGCCCCACCCGGCTAATTTTTGTATTTTTAGTAGAGACAGAGTTTCACCATGTTGGCCAGGCTGCTCTCGAACTCCTGAGCTCAAGGCCCATCTTGACCTCCCAAAATACTAGGATTACAGGCTTGAGCCACCGCGCTCGGCCAACAGATGCTTGTTGAATGAAGGCATGGGCTTGTGGTGGCTTCCATTTGGCAGCTTGGAGACCTTGTTCTACTTTCCCTTTGCCTTTCTGGTTTGGGGCAGCTGTTCCTTGGTGGTGAGAGAGGTTGATGACAGCGGAGTCTCGGAGAGCTAAGCGAAACTGTTTCTAGCAGTTTGAACTCCCCTTAGTCCAATGGGGGAGGCAGTCCCTCCTTCTTGAATAAGCTCCCAGGGTTGCCTCTGGCTTTGATGCCCCTCACTCTGTAGGAGACCTCAGTCTCAGGATTGCGCTTGAAGCCTCTATTTATGAGCCCAACTCAGAAAAGGGTGGGGCTTCACTCCCCCTTGGCTGGGTACCCCGAGGGTACACTTGGCTTTCTCTGCTGCTCCAGGCCTCAGCTCCGCAGGGCAGGAAGAAGCTAGTGGTGGACGGGCTGTGTGGGCCTGTAATCACCCAAGGGGTTTACCTTGCATGCTGCCTAGACAGAGCCAATTTGTCAAGACAGGGGAATTGCAATAGAGAAACAGTAATTCACACATAGCCCGCTGCGTGGAAGACCAGAGTTTTATTATTACTCAAATTAGTCTCTCTGAGCATTCGGAGAGCAGAGTTTTTTTGGTTTTTGTTTTTTTCTTTTTTTTTTTTTTATGAGACAGAGTCTCACTCTTTTGCCAGGCTGGAGTGCAGTGGTATGATCTCAGCTCACTGCAACTCCGCCTCCTGGGTTCAAGCAATTCTCTTGCCTCAGCCTCCTAAGTAGCTGGGACTACAGGTGCATGCCACCACGCCCAGCTAATTTTTGTATTTTTTTAGTAGAGACGGGCTTCACCATGTTGGCCAGGATGGTCTCAATCTCTTGACCTTGTGATCTGCCCATGTCGGCCTCCCAAAGTGCTGGGATTACAGGCGTGAGCCACCACACCTGGCCTGTTTTTTGTTTATCGTTTGAGATGGAGTCTTGCTCTGTCACCAGGCTGGAGTGCGGTGGCACGATCTCGACTCGCTGCAAACTCCAACTCCCTGGTTCAAGGGATTCTCCTGCCTCAGCCTACCGAGTAGCTGGGATTATAGGTGCCCGCCACCACACCCGGCTAATTTTTGTATTTTTGGTAGAGATGTGGTTTCACCATGTTGACCAGGCTAGTCTTGAACTCCTGACCTCATGATCTGCCTGCCTCAGCCTCCCAAAGTGCTGGGATTACAGGTGCGAGCTACTGAGCCAGGCTGGGAGCAGAGTTTTTAAATAACTTAGTGGGTTGGGGGAAACCAGTGAACCAGGAGTGCTGATTGGTCAGAGATGAAATCGTAGGGAGTCGAGGCTACTTCTTGTGTTCAGTCAGTTCCTGGGTGGGGGCCATAAGATCAGATGAGCCAGTTAATCAACCTGGGTGGGGCCAGCTGATCCATTAAGTGCAGGGTCTGCAAAATATCTCAAGCCCTGATCTTAGGAGCAGTTTAGAGAGGATAAGAAGCTTGTAGCCTCCAGCTGCACAATTTCTAAGCCATAATTTCTAATCTTGTGGCTAATCTACAAAGGCAGTCTAGTCCCCCAGGCAAGAAGGAGGTCTGCTTTGGGAAAGGGCTGTCACCATCTTTGTTTAAACTATAAACTATAAACAAAGATTTTCCCAAAGGTAGTTCAGCCTGTGCCCAGGAATGAACGAGGACAGCTTGGAGGTTACGAGCAAGATGGTGTCAGTTAAGTTAAATCTCTTTCACTGTCTCAGTCATAATTTTGCAAAGGCAATTTTAGGCCTCTCTCTCCTCCTATCACAGCCCATGGCTCCCTGATGCTGCTTGTGGTGACAAGCTGGGACCTGGGTCCAGGCCGCGGGGATTCTTGCCTCAGGCCTGGCCTGGCAGTAGGCTGGGTTGTCTTGGGTCCTGAGTCAGGCTCCAGCACTTCCGTGTGGGAGAGTTTGGGACTGATGTGGTGTGTCTCCCAGAATAGCGTGCTTTTTTCCTCCCTCTGTCCCAGGCAGAAGGGCCAAAGCAGGCAACATCACTGAGGCCGTCCAGCTGCCTCACTAGGCTTCAGTGGTTTCTCAGAACCCAGGGTCCTATGATCCCTGGTCCATGGCAGAGGTGAGGATGGGAGTGAGGCCAGCTATGCCACCCCTCCTGCTTGCCCAGTGGACAAGCACTAGCCTGAGGTCAGGATGCTCAGGGAGGAGCCCAGGGGTTGTGGGCACTTGTTCCAGTCAGGAGCCTCTCTGAGTGTGTCGGCATAGCCCTGGCCAGTCTAGCAGATGGACTCTGGTGGCAGGGGCTGGGAGGCAGAAGGGGAGAGAGGAAGTTGGCCTCCAGCCCAGCGGGAGCAACCAAAGGGATGGTGGAAGGGCTGGGGACAAGCTCAGCACCCATCCTCCTCACTACCAGGTCACACGTGCCCAGGAAAAATTAGCAATAGGAGATCGAAGCAGTGATAAAAGTGACTTTATTGAGTTGTCCAGGGACGTCCTGGGGTCTCCTCACTTCCCCCAGCTCTCCAGTCACCATCCCCAGCTCAGTAATAGAGACCACCTTCCTCCCATGAGAAGGAGCTCAGGAAACTCATCAGTGTATAAAAGAGGGGATGGAGAGAGATAGGGATTCTCTGGCAGTGGGAGATCCCAAGTAGAGGGCACAGGAAGAGGAGGAGCCTGGGGGCAAGAGAAGCAAGAAGCGAGGGGAGGCTCTCAGCGCGGCAGAGGGAGAAGAGAGGGGAGCCCACAGTGTCCTTTTAAATCTGGCCACAGCCTGGCTTTTGTCTTCACCTCCAGCTTGTTCCCACCCACCCTCCCCTTTCCCCTCATTGCACCTTCTCTTCCTGCCCTAGGGTGAGCCTTGCTGCTGCGCAGACATCCTGAGTCGTTGTAAATCTTCCTTTCTTTCTCCACACCTTTCATCTAGGGTCTCTCTCTCCTCTCTCTTTTCTGTCCAAAGCTCTCCCTATTTTTTTTTTTTTTTTTTTGAGACCGGGTCTTGCTCTGTGGCCTAGGCTGGAGCGCAGTGGCACAATCTTGGCTCACTGCAGCCTCCACCTCCTGGGTTCAAACGATTCTCCTGTCTCCGCCTCATGAGTAGCTGGGATTACAGGTGCACGCTACCATGCCCTGCTAATTTTTTGTATTTTTAGTAGAAACGGGGTTTCACGATGTTGGCCAGGCTGGTGTCGAACTCCTGACCTTAGGTGATCCACTCACTTTGGCCTGCCAAAGTGCTGGGATTACAGGCGTGAGCCACTGCGCTCGGTCTCCCCATTCTTTAAGAATCAGTTCAGCACTTTGGAAGGCTGAGGCAGGCAGATCACGAGGTCAAGAAATCGAGACCAGCCTGGCCAACAGGGTGAAACCTGTCTCTACTAAAAAATACAAAAATTAGCCAGACGTGGTGGCGTGCACCTGTAGTCCCAGCTACTCGGGAGGCTGAGGCAGGAGAATCGCTTGAACCCAGGAGGCAGAGGTTGCAGTGAGCCGAGATCGTGCCACTGCACGCCAGCCTGGCGACAGAGCGAGACTGTCTCAAAAAGAAAAAGGCCAGGTGCGGTGGCTTACGCCTGTAATCCCAGTACTATGGGAGGCTGAGGTGGGTGGATCACGAGGTCAAGAGATGGAGACCATCCTGGCCAACATGGTGAAACTCCCGTCTTTACTAAAAATACAAAAAAATTAGCCAGGCATGGTGGTGCACGCTTGTAGTCCCAGCTACTTGGGAGGCTGAGGCAGAAGAATCACTTAACTGGGAGGCAGAGGTTGCAGTGAGCCAAGATTGAGCCACTGCACTCCAGCAGCGTGGTGACAGAGCCAGACTCCATCTCAAAAACAAAACAAAAGTAGAATCAGTTTAAACATCCTACAGTGAAGGCTTTGAGATCACCCTGGGCCAGGTGCAGGCTTCTCCTCAACCTGCTCCCCCCAGCCCCTCCTCCCCTGCTCCCACCCCACCTACGGTCATTCTCTGTTCTGGATTTTCTGAGTTGAGCACAAACCAGGCACAGAGTAGGCACCAAAAAGTTCCAGGCACCAAAGATGGTGTTGGGTAAGATGACAGAGAGCGAGGGAGCGAGCGAGTAGGTATTTAGGGGGAATAAAGGAGAAAAGGGTGGGATGCACTGCGGGCAGAGGAGGCAGAGGAGGTCAGAGGAAAGGAGACGGCATAGGGGCAGGAGTGTGGGGTGTGGCTGGAGAGCTCCCCGGGTCTTCAGACCATTGTGCTGAGTGTGGAGGAGCCCTCGGAACGCACGGGCAGCACTGGGGCCCGCTTGAGGGAGCGCCGGGTCTCATCTCGGTTCTGCCACACATAATGCACCAGGTAAGCCACTATGAGTGTCAGCCAGCCCCCCATGGTGACCAGCAGGACCACATCAGTGCTCCTCCGGGCCCCGCCCCGCCCTGCCCCACACAGCTCTTTCTCCCCTGCCAGCAGCAGGAACTCCTGCCCCACAAAGTCCGGTCGGGCTCCGGGGCCACACACGATGCCTGTCCCAGTGCCTGGTGCCAGCCTCACCTGCCTGAGCACTTCCTGGAGGGCACAGTCGCAGTGCCATGGGTTGGCAGATAGGTTCACTTGGATCTGTAGTCCCATAAAGGCCTCCACGGGCACCGAGGCCAGTTGGTTGGCAGAAAGGTCAAGGTGGCGCAGTGTGCCCTCCAGGCCCTGAAAAGCCGCCCCTGAGAGGTGGGCAAGGGCATTATGGGACAGATCCAGCTCCTCCAGGACAGCCAGGTGCTGGAATGCACCAGCAGGCACCGATGCCAGCTGGTTGGCATCCAGGTAGAGCTTGCGGGTGTCGTTGGGGATGCCGGAGGGCACAGCGCTCAGGCCTGCCTGGCTGCATCGGAACGTCCGTTCACCTGCTTCCTTTGCCACATAGCAGCCCCGGGGAGGCACCCGGGGACTGGGCACAGTACCCCCTGTGCCTATCACCAGCAGGAGGGACAAGAGGTGACCTGCTGGTGGGAGCATGGCCACAAGTTGGCATAGTCCTGGAGTGGAGTAGGATCTGGGGAAGAAAGGTCACATAAAGGAAGAGTGAGTAAACAGAATCACATGCCCACTGCCAGCTCTTTCCTCCTGAGGTCCCTCTGGGGCGTCCCTTTGGGCCGGGGCCTCCTCTCAAGGCTGGGTGACTTGTTCACTTCCTTCTTGGGGTATCTTGATTTAAGGCTCCTCAATAGGGCCTTTTGGGCAAAGGGTCTCTTGTGCTTCAAACTCTTTTAGGGTCTATTGATTCTAGAAGCTTAATCTATGAGGCCCTGTTGGTCATTCTGGGTCCAGGGATTTCTAAGTTTCTGCCTCTGTCTATGTATTGATCTCTCTCATTGGAATAAAGTCTTTTCCCCTACCTACCTGGGTGGCTGCCAGGTGGGCTAGGTCGGCACCAGAGGGTCTGGTTGGCACTTGTGTGATGGAGACAAGTGGGACAGATGAGTGATAGGGTGCCAGGGCATCCAGCTAGGCCGGGTGACTAGGTAAAATGGACTTCTGGCCCACCTTATATGCCCATCAGCCCCTCTTCTGGGAGCACCCACCTGTCTGCCTGCCCAGCTCTGTCCTCTCTGCCCTGCACGGCCTCCCTCCTCCTCCCTCTCCTCCTCCCTTCCTCTCACCCCTCTTGGTGGTAGAGCCTTCTCCAGTGCAGCTGCCCTCTCCCGGCTCCCCGCTGCTGGGCTCTGGAGACCCGCTTCCTCCTCCTGTTTGCTCACAGCTGCTGGAAGTTGGGGGCTGGGACTTAAGAGTGTTGGGTTTCCTGGCATGTGACTCCAGGCCCAGGTGTCGGATACCTGAGCCATGGTGTGGCCAGGCAATGCCAAGAGAGGGCAGATCCTGGACCCTGATGAACTTTGCCATGGGGATACCAGGCCCCAGTTCCATTCCCTGCCCCAGGCTCCCCTCCCCAGCCTTGATACTGCCATCTTTCCTCAGCCTTCGAGGCTAAAACTCTGCTTCCAAGAACCCCTCTTCCTTGCCCAGAACTTGGCTGGGCAGAAGGATCCCTACTTGGCAGGCCTGGGGGGCAGAACCGAACTGGGTGGGCCCCATCTCACATCCACTGTCTCCAGCAACCTGTACACCCCCAACTCCATTCTCCCCTGCCACCATCTGCTGCCCTTCTTGTTTTGTTGTTGTTGTTTTGTTTTTGTATTTTTGTAGGGACGGGGTTTCTCCATGTTGGTTAGGCTGGTCTTGAACTCTTGACCTCAGGTAATCTGCCTGCCTCGGCCTCCCAAAGTGTTGGGATTGCTGGTGTGAGCCACCATACCCGGCTGCTTCTGCCCTTCCTTCACGCTCTGTGGCACTTTCTTCCATGGTGAGCAAACTTCCCTTAGCCTTTCCTTGGAAAACATGTCTGTCCGGGGCCACATCTCCTGGCTCCTCACAGTGCCCAGCCGTCTTGCCTGCCAGGGGTGCTGTGGTTCAACTTTAATTTGTTCTCTGCGTGGTGGATTGATGGCCTCTCTAGGAGTCGGAAGGAATTCTTTAAGGCACCTGAAGCCTGATGCGGTCGTCTCTGAGTTTTCCTGCTGATTTTATGATCTGGATGAGAACCAACTCAGGTTCTCTCTGCTGGAGCCCTGGACTCTCAGGGTGGCACTTTGAACCCTCCTTCAGGCCTGGGCACCAAAGAGGGCTTGGATGACTTGTTCCCCAGGGCGTCCCGGCCCCAAGCATCATTTGCAGGCCACGCCACTCTGTGATACCAACCTCTCCTAATGTTCACTGGGGAGTGGAAAGGAAGGATTTCAAGGCAGAGGATGAGATTCATGTGTGACCTGAGCATGTGACCTGACGCTGCTGGTTGGGAAGAGCCACCAAGGCTGAGCGGATGTGAAGGCACTTTGTGAAGTACTGTGCAGTGGCGAGTTGTCAGGATTACTGTCTTCCAGAACACATCGGGTCTTCCTCCATGATTTCAGTACCACGCCAGGCTTTTCCCCACCACCTCCTCTGGTATGCTGTGCAGGGGCAGGGGTGACAAGGGGTCATAGATGGGATCCATGTGGATGACCCATCTCATTCCTTAGCCCATGGTGGCTTCTCCCCTGAACTCCCTTGACATTCAAGTCCAACCACGTGGTGCCTCCTGTGGCACCATCCTACCCACACTATCTCCAGTTTGGTGCTGGGATTCAGAGCTTCAGTGATTGATAGAGCTCAAAGGAAGGGGCCAGCCAGTTGACCCCTCTTTAGTTTTCAGATGGGTAAACTGAGGCCCAGAGTGTGACCAGAGTTACACAGTGAGTCAGTGGTCAAAGACCAGAACCCTGTTTTCTGACTTTGTGTCTAGCTCCTTTCCATTGCCTGCTAGCACCTCTGGTCTCTGTGCCACACTTACCCATACCCTACATCCTTGCATGTTGAGCCTGATGGTGCCCATGGTATTGTGTGGCACCCAGAAGCCCTCCTGCCAGGTCAGAGAGGTGGAAGAGTGGGGTGTCACAGAGACCAGACAGGATATACTTACACGAAGGAAGATGAGGTCATATGCAGTGGAGACCTTGCTGAGGACAGCCTTGCTGGCTTTTGCAAGACTGTGGTGACCAGGACTGGACATGGAATTGCAGAGCTCAGTGCAAAACAAAAATGGTGGGGAAGGGCCCCTTGTTTCAAAAACCTGTTAAGAATTTCTTTAAAAAAAAAAAAAAAAAAATATATATATATATATATATATATATATATACATATATGTATATATATTTTTTAAAGACAGGGTTTCACCATGTTGGTCAGGCTGGTCTTGAACTCCCAACCTCAAGTGATCTGTCCGCCTTAGCCTCCAAAGTGCTTGGATTACAGGTGTGAGCCACCACACCTGGCCAAATTTTTTTTTTTTTTTTGAGATGGAGCCTCCCTCTGTCACCCAGTCTGGAGTGCAATGGTGTGATCTCGGCTCACTGCAACCTCCACCATCTCTGGGTTCAAGCGATTCTCCTCCCTCAGCCTCTGGAGTAGCTGGGATTACAGGCGCCTGCCACCACGCCTGGCTTATTTTTGTATTTTTAGTAGAGACAGGGTTTCACCGTGTTGGCCAGGCTGGTCTTAAACTCCTGACCTCAGGTGATCTGCCCGCCTTGGCCTCCCAAAGTGCTGGGATTACAGGCATGAGCCACCATGCTCAGCTCTTTTTTTTTTTGGCGGGGGGATAGAGTCTCACTCTGTGGCCCAGGCTGGAGTGCAGTGGCGCAACCTCAGCTCACTGCAACCCCTGTCTCCCAGGTTCAAGTGATTCTCCAGCCTCAGCCTCCTGAAAAGCTGGGATTACAGGCACCCACCACCATGTCTGGCTAATTTTTATATTTTTAGTAGAGACAGGGTTTCACCATGTTAGCCAGGCTGGTCTCTAACTCCTGATCTCAACAGAGTCTCAACAAGGTGTCACTCTGTTGCACACGCCAGTCTCAAACTTATGAGGCTGCTTGGTCCCTGGCCTCCCAAAGTCCTGAGATTATAGGCATGAGCCATGCACCCAGCCTTAAATTCTGTAGTGGCTCATGCAGTGAGGACTATGCCCTGCTGAAACAGTTAAGAATGTCCAGGCCTTGCTGGGTACGGTGGCTCATGCCTGTAATCCTAGCACTTTGGGATACCGAGGCGGGTAGATCACTTGAGACCAGGAGTTCCAGACCAGCTTTACCAACATGGTGAAACACCATCTCTACTAAAAATGCAAAAAATTAACTGGGCCATGGTGGTACATGCCTGTAATCCCAGCTATTTTGGGAGGCTAAGGCACGAGAATCACTTGAACCCAGGAGGCAGAAGTTTCACTGAGCCGAGGTTGCACCACTTCACTCCAGCCTAGGTGACGCATCAAGACCCTGTCTCAAAAAAAAAAAAGAATTTCAAGACTGGGTGCATGGCTCATGCCTGTAATTGCAGCACTTTCAGAGGCTAAGAACCAAGGAGCCTCATGAGTTTGAGACTGGCCTGTGCAACATAGTGAGACCTCGTCTCTACTAAAAACCAACCAAACAGGCCGGGCGCAGTGGCTCACGCCTGTAATCCCAGAAGTTTGGGAGGCCGAGGTGGGTGGATCACGAGGTCAAGAGATCAAGACCATCCTGGCCAACATGGTGAAAACCCGTCTCTACTTAAATACAAAAATTAGCCAGGCATGGTGGCATGTGCCTGTAGTCCCAGCTACTTGGGAGGCTGAGGCAGGAGAATTGCTTAAACCCAGGTGGTGGAGGTTGCAGTGAGCCAAGCTTGTGCCATTGCACTCCAGCCTGGCGCCTGTCAACAGAGCGAGACTCTGTCTCAAAAACAAAAAACAAAACCAAACAACAATAACAAAATTATTTGTCCAAATACACTTTTTTTTTTTAATTTTTCTTTTTTGTTTTTGTTTATAGAGATGGGGTTTCTCCATGTTGATCAGACTAGTCTTGAACTCCTGACCTCAGGTGATCCACTGCCTTGGCCTCCCAAAGTGTGGGGATTACAGGCGTGAACCACCATGCCTGGCCTGTCCAAATATACTTTCTACAAAAAGAAAAAAAAATTAGCAGAGCATGGTGGTGCATACTTGTAGTCCCAGCTGCTCAGGAGGCTGAGGTGGCAGGATGGCTTGAGCCTGGGAAGTAGAGGCTGCAGTGAGCTGTGACTGCACCACGGCACTCCAGGCTGGGCGACAGAGTGCACCTCTGTCTCTAAAAAAATAAAAACAGGCTGGGCACGGTGGCTCACGCCTGTAATCCTAGCACTTTGAGAGGCCGAGGTGGGTGGATCACCTGAGGTCAGGAGTTCAAGACAGCCTGGCCATCATGGTGAAACCCCATCTTGAGAAAAAAAAATAATTAAAATAAAAAATAAAAAAAGAATTTCAAGATGACGACAGCAGCAGAGTACAGAACCAAGTCCAGGGCTCTTCTGAGCACAGGGCATGAGTCTTGTGGGAATGCATCAGCCGCATGCCTGTGCGGCTGGCCTTGTAGGTTACCTTTGAACAAACAGTTTCAGAAACGACGGGCATCAGAAGCATGATGGGGACCAGACTAGATGGTAGGATACTAGATGACGTCATCTCTGAGGATGTACTCACTACGGACTCATTCCTGCCATGTCAACACGGGCATTTCACAGACTCACATTTGTCTGAGGAATCAGATAATTTTCTATACTCAGGCAGCAGAAGCAACAAGCAACACTTTTGTCTGAGGGATGCTTGTTAGTTAGGCCAGACGCTCTGCTGCTGGCTACTTGGGTGTCCATTTTGGAACTGCAGCTGAATGTGGGACAGAAAGCTGAGTAATCTTCCTTTTCCCTCCTTTCTCTCTCACACTGGACAGGGGCTTTAACTGAGGCACAGAAGCTGAGCCTGTGGATGGAGGGTGATTTCCTTCTAACACTAGGGCAGCTTCCAGGAAAAGAGTGGGACCAGGATGCCCAGCACAGCAGCCGTGGGAGAAGCAGGAGCCCAGCTGGAGCTGCAGATGTGGTTAATGAAGGGAGGCTGAGTGCAAACTCAGTGAAGGAGGCAGATCTGAGGGGAGGGAGGAACTACACTTAGAACAGTGCACACTACAGGCTAGGGACTGCAGAGTTGGAACAGAAATTCTCTGCCATTTATTTATTTGTGTATTCATTTATTCATTCAGTGAGGATTTCCTGTGAGGCTTATATGCTAGTTGAAGGGGATATAGACAGGGCTTTTTTTTTTGGAAAGAAGAGTCTAGCTCTGTCACCCAGGCGCGATCGCGGCTCACTGCAACCTCTGCCTCTTGGATTCAGGAGATTCTCCTGCCTCAGCCTCCCGAGTAGCTGGGATTACAGGCGCCTGCCACTGTGCCTGGCTAATTTTTGTGTTTTTATTACAGACAGGGTTTCACTGTGTTGGCCAGGCTGGTCTCGAACTCCTGACCTTGTAATCCGCCCATCTCAGCCTCCCAAAGTGCTGGGATTACAAGTGTGAGCCACCGTGCCCAGCCTAGACAAGGCTCTTAAGGTGCTGGGTCTGTAGCAGGGTTCTCAAAACAGCCTGCACATTCAAATCACTTGGGGGGCTTTTACAAATTAGTTATGCTGGGGCTTCATCTGAAACAATTACACTCAAATCTCTGTGCATGGGGTTTAGGCACTGGTTTCTTTCAAGAGCTCCCCAGATATGTCTAATGTGCAGCCTGAGTTGAGAGTGGTTGGTCTGGAGGGAGACACAGACATGCTTTGATGTGATGCCCTCATTAATTGATGTGTGTACAAAGAGCTTCCCAAAGTGATGTGTACAGAGAGAGAATAAGTATTAACACGGGAGAACCTGCTGGCTGTGCTGTTGGTATCCATCCCTTCTCTCCTACTACCAGATGACACACATGGCTTTAGGAGTGGCAATGCACTAAGTCCTGGACGATTCAACCTGATTGAGCTTCTCAGCCCATCAGAAATCCTGTTGCCCACTTTTCCAATCTCCTTTGTAGCTGGGGGTGGCCCAATTCTGGTCAATGACATGTAAGCAGAAGTCTGCAAACAGTCTTTGACAGTCTGGGACAGTCTTTGATTTACTGGTAAGATAAGTCTTTGATCTCAGTTCACTACAACCTCCACCTCCAGGATTCAAGCGATCCTCCTGCCTCGGCCTCCTGAGTAGCTGGGATTACAGGCCCACACCACCACATCCCACTAATTTTTGTGTTTTCAGTAGAGATGGGTTTCACCATATTGGCCAGGCTGGTCTTGAACTCCTGACTTCAGATGATTCACCTGCCTCAGCTTCCCAAAGTGCTAGGATTATAGGTGTGAGCCACTGCACCCAGCTTTTTTTTTGGGGGGGAGAGGGTCTCACATTGCCCAGACTGGAGTGCAATGGTACAAACACAGCTCACTGCAGCCTTGACCCCCACCAAGTTCAAGCAATCCTCCTGACTTAGCCTCCTATGTAGCTGGGACCACAGACATGTGCCATCTCAACCAGCTTTTTTTTTTAAGAGATGAGGGTCTCACTTTGTTGCCCAGGCTGGTCTTGAACTCTTAAGTCTCCTGCCTTGGCTCCCCAAAGTGCTGGGGATTACAGCCTGAGCCACTATGCCTGACCCCTACTTTGAACATGAAAGGCTCAACATGAAAGGACAACAAAGCATAAAGGGAAGATTGAGTATTACTGAGTTGTTGGCTGGAGGCCATTGAACTCCTCACCCAACACCCGCAACCGCCTCCTCTAGACTCAGCATATGAGAAAGAGAACCCCCTAATTTCAGAGCTTTTCAACTTGGCTGCACATTAGAATATAAGCAGTTTTGAAAACTCCTGATGCCTGGATACACCCACGGAGATTTTAATTGAGTTAATCTGGCATGTGTCTGGTGATGGGAATATATTTTTCTTTTTGAGACAGAGTCTCACTCTGTCGCCCAGGCTGGAGTGCAGTGGCACGATCCCGGCTCACTGCAGCCTCTGACTCCTGGGTTCAAAAAATTCTCCTGCCTCAGCCTCCCAAGTAGCTGGGATTACAGGCACATACCACCATGTCCAGTTAATTTTTGTATTTTTAGTAGTTTTTTGTTTTGTTTTGTTTGTGTGTGTGTGTGTGTGTGTGAGAGAGAGAGAGAGAGAGAGACAGTTTTGCTCTTGTTGCCCAGGCTGGAGTGCAATGGTGCGATCTTGGCTCACCGAAAACTCCGCCTCCCAGGCTCAAGCCATTCTTCTGCCTCAGCCTCCCGAGTAGCTGGGATTATAGGCATGTGTCAGCACACCTGGCTAATTTTGTATTTTTTTTTTTTCTAAGTCGAGATGGGGTTTTTCTATGCTGGTCAGGCTGGTCTTGAACTCCAGACCTCAGGTGATCCACCCACCTTGGCCTCCCAAAGTGCTAGAATTACAGGTGTGAGCCACTGCACCCCACCTAGAGAATTTTCTTCACGTTGGCCAGGCTGGTCTCAAACTCCTGACCTCAGGTAATCTACCTGCCTCGGCCTCCCAAAGTGCTGGGATCATATTTGTGAGCCACCGTGCTTGGCCAGGTGATGGGAATTTTCAGAAGCTCCTCAGGTGATTCTAATGGAAACCTGGGATAAGAATATTTATTTGGGTTTTCTGTTGCTTTCAGCTGACAGCATCCTTACCTGGTACACCAACTTCTCTAGGATATCATCAAGCAAGTCTTCACCAAGGATTGACATCTGAGCTGGGTTTCAAGGCCGGCCTAATCAGGTGGAGAAACAGAGTGTGCAAGAGCGAGGGAGCATGAAATGGCTTGGCTTCCAGATCGCTGGGTGGATGGAGGGGGTGGTGACAAAGGCCAGGGGTAAAGAAGTAAAAAGGGAGCGGATCCTTGTGGCCTGCATGCCATGGATGCACTGGGACTTGATTTTGTGGCTTATGGATTGAAAGGTTTTATTTGGTTTTTATTATTTTATTGATTTATTTATTGAGATGGAATCTCGCTCTGTACCCAGGCTGGAGTACAGTGGCGAAATCTCGGCTGACTGCAACGTGTGCCTCCCCAGGTCAGGCGATTCTCCTGCCTCAGCCTCCTGAGTAGCAGGGATTACAGGTGCCTGCCTCCACACCTGGCTAATTTTTGTGTTTTTAGTAGAGGCGGGGTTTTGCCATGTTGGCCAGGTTGGTCTCGAACTCCTGACCTTAGGTGATCTGCCTGCCTCGGCCTCCCAAAGTGCTGAGATTACAGGTGTGAGCCACTGCACTCAAAAAAACTACTTGTTTTTTTGAGACGGAGTCTCACTCTGTCACCCAGGCTGGAGTGCAGTGGCATGGTCTTGGTTCACTGCAACCTTTGCCTCCTGGGTTCAAGGGATTCTCCTACCTCAGCCTCCTGAGTAGCTGGGATTACAAGCACGAACCACCACGCCCGGCCAGTATTTGTATTACTGTTATCTTTTTCTAAGTAGAGACAGGGTTTCACCATTTTGGCCAGGCTGGTATTGAACTGCTAATGCGAAGTGATCCTCCCACCTCGGCTGCACGAAGTGTTGAGATATAGGTATGAGCCACTGTGCCTGGCCACGTTTTCATTTGTATTTTTTTCGAGAAAAGGTCCCATTGTCGCCCAGGCTGGAATGTAGGGTGGCATCACAGTTCACTGAAGCCTCAACCTCCCCAGGCTCAGATGATCCTTCCACCTCAGCCTCCCAAGGGGATAAAACCAGAGGTACATGCTACCGCGCCCAGCTAATTTTTTTTGTGTGTGTATTTTTGTGTAGAGATGGGATTTGGTCATGTTTTGCAGGCCAGTCTCAAACTCCTGGGTTCAAGCAATCTGCCCACCTCGTCTTCCCAAAGTGTTGGGGTTACAAATGTGAGCCACCACATCTGGTCAGGTTGAAAGGTTTTAAAATTAGATTTGATATTTGGATCACTCTGTTGGTTGTGTGGGGGATATATTGGTGGCAGGAAAACTGGTTATGGCAAAGGTCCAGGTGTGAGATCATAAAGACCTGAGGGACACATGGCATGGGACTTGAAAAGCCATCACTGGGTAGTCCGATGCTCTGCCTTGGCCTGTGAATGGCCTGGGAAAATTCTTGGGCTAGGTCCAAGACCAGCAGACATTTGTGCCACGGGACACATCCGTTCCCCATCCCCTTGGCCCTTCCGTTCTGTGGACCCTCACAGTCTCTGAGATCCCTTCTAGCCTGATGTGTGTCTAGGATGGCAAGCAGGGAAGAGTCTGAGGCATAGCAGGGTCCTGGCTCCCAAGGTCAGGGCCCAGGAAAGTGAGACTTTCAGGCCCCCACCCGTGGCAGTCTGAGACACAGCTCCTCCCTCTGAGGGTGGTAACTCTATATCCCAAAGATGTGACCATAGGGGAAGGAAGTTCAGCAGACCTCTATCCCGTTCCCTCCCTGATATTGGAGACCCCCATGTCCAGCCTGGGTCGGGGGATACCTGAAAGGAAAAGAGGAGGGCTAGCTTCTTTATCAGGTCAGCCAGGGACCCATCTAATGCCAGGCTACTGGGCAGCTTCGGGGGGAGGGAGACAAAGTCCTCTGCTATTCTTGTTCCCTGTGGAAAAGGGAAAGGGCTGTATACATGCACTTAATCTGCCATGCTTGGAGGTACTCTCTCATTTACTTAGCACATATCTGAGCACGTACTGTGTACCAGGGCCTCTTAGGCATTAGGGATTCAGAGTTGCTTTTTTTTTAATTTTTTTGAGACAGGTCTCATTCTGTCACCCAGGTTGGACTGCAGTAGCATGATCACAGCTCACTTGCAGCCTCAACTTCCTGGGCTCGAGCCATCTTCCCACCTCACCCTCCCACCCCGCCAACTTTTGTATTTTTGTGGAGAGCCACCACGCCTGGCTGAGAAAAGTAAATGTCCCCCAGCCAATCAGGAAAGACTGGTGTGTGCGCGAAGAGAGCCATCTGATCACCTAGAGGTAGGCTTGGACTGAGGGATCTGCCAGGGTCAGAGGGGCCTGGAGGATGGAGCAGTGGACTTTGCTTGAACATTGGGAAAGGCTGCACCAAGAAGGGGACAAGTGAGCTAGGCCTTGAGGGATGTATAGGAGTCTGTCGGATGGAAAAGGCTAGGAGGCTGAGACAAGAACAAGGGAGGGCAGTTTGGCTGTGGTCTTCGATGTGCAGTTCTGTCAGAGGCGTGTGAACCAGAGCAACTCCATCTTAAATAGGAGCTGGGTAAAATCAGGCTGAACCCTACAGTGAAGGCATTCTAAGTCACAAGATGAGATAGGAGGTCAGTACAAAATACAGGTCATAAAGACCTTGCTGATAAAACAGTTAGCAGTTAAGGAGCCGTCCAAAACCCATCAAAACCAAAGTGGTGAAGAGAGTGACCTCTGGGTGTCCTGACTGCTATGCTCCCAGCAGTGCCATGACAGTTTACAAATGCCATGTCAACGTCAGGAAGTTACCCTATATGATCTAAAAGGGGAGGCATGAATAAGCCACCCCTTGTTTAGTGTCTCATCAAGAAATAACCATAAAAATGGACAACCAGCTGCTTGGGGTTGCTCCCACTCTTTTATTCCTTTACTTTCCTAAGAAACTTGCTTTTACTTCGCGCTGTGGACTCGCCCTGAATGCTTTTTTGTGCAAGATCCAAGAACCCTCTCTTGGGGTCTAGAAGGGGACCCCTTTGCGGTAACAGTTCTGTTACATAGTTCAGTTAACTTTTATTGAGAATTCAGTTTAGGAAACGCAAATGTGAGACAGGGAGCAAGCCTAGCAGACTAGCTGGGGGCAGTTCTGTAACATACAAATAAAGCCCTTTGCCCAGTGTCTGGAACATAGCAAACAATAATGTTTGCTGTGATCGTCACTGAAGGAGGAGCTGGCCTTAGGCAGGAGAAGGTGATCTGGGGACAGGGGCCACCCAGGATTTCTGGATAGGTGAGGCTAGGAGTAGGAACTCAGTTGGTAGGGAGTTAGGGGGTCTCGTTTTGAAGCTACTGTTTTTATATCCATTGCCCTTTTGATCTGAAATATTTCCGGTTTTCTGACTGCTTTTATGCACGGGAGAGTGTCAATTGTCCATATCAAAGAATATGCAGTTTGAGGGGTTCCCAATGTACCACCTTGCACTTGGTTCCCCAGGGGGGTTCTTGTTCACAGGCACAGGCTGAAGGATGGGGGCCCAGTGGCCCTGACTGGTTCAGCCCTTTCTCTCCACAGCCCAAAATAGCCAACCACAGGCCTGGGCGGGGGAGGAGAACAGGGTGCCCGCTGGTGATGCTGCCATCCTGCACCCACTCCTGGCTTCTGACTGGCTCAGTAGTTCTCAGGAGGGTCACTCACTGCTCCTTTGCCTGCTTAACATTTGCCCTCCCCCTCCCCCTTCCCATCACATACCCGGGGTATCCCCCACCCAAACAAAAATAAAAACACAACTGTCAATGAAATAAGCAGCTCTTTCCTTCCTTGCAGGAAGCAGGTTGGGGGCGGGAGTAGTAGGAGTGGAGGGTGACATTCTTTCCTACAGGGGAAGGGGCTCTGTTTCTTGACACTACTCCTCCCGGCTTCTGAACCTTCTGAACGCGTCCAGCAGCATCCGGGGGACGTGTTCCTTGTTTATCATCCTATCTCAGCCCACAAGAGGGTGTATGGTATATCTCTCACAGGCAGAGGCCCCATCACCACTCCCAAGTCACCAGATGGAAGCACAGTGAGCTGAGGAATGTGTCTACCTCAGCAGCCTGAGGAGCTCCCAGAGGGCAGGGAGAGCCTCTGACCTAGGCTCATTTTGTTTTAAAACTTTTCACAAAACATTTAAAGGTAATATCACATTATGCAAAGTTTGAAACTAGAGAATGAAAAAGATCCCCCCAAATCCCCCATTCTGATTCAAGACTGTTTTTGTTGTTGTTTTTCTTTCTTTCTTCTTTTTTTTTGAGATGTAGTTCCGCTCTTGTCGCCCAGGCTGGAGTGCAATGGCACAATCTCAGCTCACTGCAGCCTCTGTCTCCTGGGTTCAAGCAATTCTCCCACCTCAGCCTTCATAGTAGCTGGGATTATAGGGTATGACACTGTGCCCGGCTAATTTTTGCATTTTTAGTAGCGATGGGGTTTCACCATGTTGGCCAGGCTGGTCTCGAACTCCTGACCTCAGATGATCCACCTGCTTCAGCCTCCCAAAGTGCTGGGATTACAGGCATGAGCCACCATGCTTTGCCTGTTGTTGTTTTAAGAGACAGGGCTTGCTTTATTGCCCAAGCTAGAGCTAACTAGTGAGATCACTGCAGCCTCAAACTCCCTGGGCTCAAATGATCCTCCCCCCTTAGCCTTCTGAGTGGCTGGGACTACAGGAATGCACCACCATGCCTGGCTAATTTATTTATTTTTGTAGAGACAGCAGTGTGTGTGAGTGTGTGTGGGGACTGTCTCGTTATGTTGCCTAGGCTGGTCTTGAACTCCTGGCCTCAAGCAACCCTCCCGCCTCAGCCTCCCAAAATGCTGAGATTACAGGCTTGAGCCACAGTTCCCAGCCCCAAGGTCTGTTTTTATTTTGTTGAATTTCCATAATCTAGTAAAGTACATGCTCAAATATCATTCAAATGTGGAATGAATTAATAAAAGGCAACACATACTGAGCACTTCATTATGTGCCAGGAATTGTTTCAAGTGTTTCATTTCACATTTACTGGCCCATTTAATATTCACAACATGAGGTGGGTATTATGATGATCATTACCATCTTCATTTACTTTCTTCTTTCTGAACACCAGTGTCACCTGCCATTTCATTTAGCAATGAGGTAACTGAAGCACAGAGAGGTTCACTAACCTGCTTAAGGTTACATGGCTGGTAACTAGAGGAGCTGGGAGTTGACCTCTGGCAGTCTTGTGCCACAGGACGTTACCAGTGCTGCTCTATTTTTGCTTATCTTAATCATTAACAAACATGTAGGATTAGACTTTTTATTACGAACAATTTCAAACATAAAGAAGTAAAGAAAATAGGCTGGGCATGGTGGCTCATGCCTGTAATCCCAGCACTTTGGGAGGCCAAGGTGAACAGATCACTTGAAGTGAGGAGTTCGAGACCAGCCTGGCCAACATGGTGAAACCCCGTCGCAACTAAAAATACAAAAATTAGCCCGCATGTGCCTATAATCCCAGGTACTCAGGAGGCTGAGGCAGGAGAATTGCTTGAACCTGTTAGGTGGAGGTTGCAGTGAGCTGAAATTGCGCCACTGCACTCCAGCCTGGGTGACTGAGCGAGACTCCGTCTCAAAAAAGGAAAAATAAAGTAGAGAAAATAATATAAGGAACTTAATGTCCTCATCACACAGCTTCAATAATTGTCACCTCATGGCTCATCTTATTATGTCTCTATTGTTCCCAGCCCAGATTATTTTGAAGCAAATGCAGTCACTGTATCATTTCATCCACAGATATTTTAGTATATATGTCCGAAAGGAGGCCCTCTTAAATTAAAAAAAAACTTACCACAATTCCATTTCATGCTTAAACATTTAGAATTCCTTAATATCACTGAATACCTTGTCAGTATTCAAATTTGCCTGATAACTTAATAAAATCTTTTTTTTTTGAGACAGAGCCTCACTCTGTCGCCCAGGCTGGAGTGTAACAGTGCAATCTTGGCTCACTGTAACCTCTGCCTCCCGGGTTCAAGCTATTCTTCTGCCTCAACCTCCTGAGTAGCTGGGATTACAGGTGCCTACTTCCATACCTGGCTAGTTTTTATAGTTTTAGTAAAGATGGAGTTTCACCACGTTGGCCAGGCTGGTCTTGAACTCCTGACCTCAGGTGATCTGCCCGTCTCGGCCTCTCAAAGTGCTGGGGTTACAGGCATGCACCACTACACCTGGCCTTTTTTTTTTTTTTCTTTTTCTTTTTTTTTCTGAGACGGAGTCTCACTCTATTGCCCAGGCTGGAGTGCAGTGGCCTGATAGCCCACTGCAACCTCTGCCTCCCAGGTTCAGTGATTCTTCTGCCTCAGCTGCCCGAGTAGCTGGGACTACAGGTGCACGCAACGACACCCAGCTAATCGCTTTTGTATTTTTGGTAGAGACGGGGTTTCACCATGTTGGCCAGGCTGGTCTTGAACTCCTGACCTCATGATCTGCCTGTCTTGGCCTCCCAAAGTGCTGGAATTACAGGCGTGAGTCACCATACCTTGCCCCAATTTTGTTAAGGGAATTGGGTATTTGTCCTAATTTTCTTCATTCTAGATTTTGCTGACTATATCCCTGGGGAATGTGTCTTCTGGTATTTTGTGTCGTTATCTTTTCATATAGCTAGCAAGCATTTCCCCATACTGCCACAGGGTTTTCACAATCTGTCCTAAATGACTTCATACTATTCTATCCAGCAGAGATACTGTAATTTTTTTCTTGTGCATTTAGGTTGCTTTCAGTTTTTCACTAACTATAAATATTGCTGGAATGAACATCCTGACACATTGCAGCTTTTCCTGTACATGGGATAACTTCCTTAGAATATGCTACCCGAAGTGTAATTATGGTTCTGAGGCATGAAGAATTTTTCAGCTTCTTGGCACACAGTGACAATTGTTTGTCCAAGAGTTTGTGTGTCTCCCAGCACCAAATAAGAGAGCTGTCACTCACTCTGAATAGTGCTTAGGGCTGTTCACAGCTGAAGGATGTTTAGGGAAGACATGGTAATTATGAGGGCAAAGAGTTAGAGAAGGAGAAAAATGATGACAGGGACTCCAGCTAAATAAAGCAGAAAGTGATCTGTAATTTACCACAAACCTAGAGTGAGTCAGAACTCTGTTCATTCCTATTGTGAAAAAAAAATCCTTGATAAAAGGAGTTATTAATAGTGCATGACATGTCCAGTAATCTTTCTGTTAGACTGTGCATTAGTCAGAACCTTATTTGAGACATCTCTCAGTCTGGGTCACTGAACTTCATAGAGATATCAAGAAACTGATCAAGATCCAGAGGGCTCGATCAACCTGATGGAGGATGAAGAATCCCAGAGAAAAATAAAAAAAGTCAAGCAGGCTCACTTTGGAAAAAATAGACACACCTTGTTGCCTTAATGCTGGGGAGGTTTCCGTGAAAAGAACAACACTGGGTTTGCTTATGTCTGCAGAAAGATGACTATAAGGAAAGGCACCTCCACAAACCAAGAAAAACTTCCTTAGGACATAGGCAGAGCTATTTCTGACTCGGGAGATTATTTCGATCTTGGGATGAACTCTTTTGGGGCCATTGGCCCTGGAAATATTCAAGAAGCTGCCTGTTCTGCTCTGGGTGGTTCAAATATCCACCAGCCTGGTGACCACTAAGTGCCTCTAGGGGTCCCACTCCAGCTGTGTAATAACTTTCCTGGCAGCCCCCTGGGGAAGGAAGGGTAGGTGGAGTCCAAGTGAAGTGCTCCCCAGTTTTCCTGGGGTAGGCTCTTCCTTCCTGTTTCACTTCAGAGTGCCATGAACTGCCATTCAGAGTCGGGCTGGCATGCCATGATGACTTAATCTGATCTTGCTATTCCAGCCCTGCCCTGCATAGAGTGGACTTAGAGAGAAGCTGGGGAGGGAGTTGAAACCACCCAGACAAGGCCTCTTGGTGACATGGAGAATGGGAGTGACCCAGGAGACCTCAAAAGCCATTTAGTTCAACCTCCCACAGTAATATTAAATAGATTCCTACAATGCAACAAGTGCTTTACATACATTCTTTTGGGTTCTCACAACCTTGGAGGTGGGGTTTCACGGGTGTGAAATTGGAGATTAAGACAAGTAATTTGCCCAGGGTCACACTGCCAATAAAGGGGGGGCCTACCCTATGTCGACCAGGCAGTAGTCTGTGCCCGTGCCTTTAGAGGATGCAGATGTGAAAACTGCAGACCAGAGCCTCTCATTCAAAACCACACAAGCTAACCTGAGACAGAAACTCTGGCTCCTAACTACTGATCAAGGAATCTATGATACGTGGCCTCTTCTGACGTCAGGTGCGGGGCGGCCAAGGATGTGGTCCCGTCCCGGGCAGCCTGGGCCAAGCATGACTGAGAAGAAGGCAGGCTCCGTTCTGGGCCCTCCAGACCCTCACCTCAGCCAAGGTGAATAGCGCGCTCCCAGGAGGGCCCGGCGGGGCAAAGGGCCGGGCCAGTCCGTTTCTGGAGGAGCCAATCTGGGGCCAGGGCGGAAGGCAGCCAAGTGCAGTGGAAAAACCCTGCACTTGGGGTCAGAATATCTGGGTTTCGAGCCAGTCTGGGACCCAGCAAAGACTTACAGCAAGTGACTTACAAGTCCGAGTCTCCACATCTGCAAAACTGGGGCAAGGGTAAAATATACTTGAAAGGCACAGAAGCAAAAGTTGGAATTGTTACGCACCAAAGTTCTATCATGCGATCTGACCGTTGCCTCACGGTGCAGCTTCCAACAGTGCGGCCTCGGAGAGGCCGGGAAAGGAGCCCGGAAAAACTACAACTCCCAGGAGGCGTCGGCCGGGCCGGCGCGGAGTGGTGACGTCACGGGGGCCGGCGCGGAGCTCTGATTCGGCCGGAGCTGCCAGCGGGGAGGCTGCCGCCGCGGGTTGTTACAGCTGCTGGAGCAGCAGCGGCCCCCGCTCCCGGGAACCGTTCCCGGGCCCTCGATCTCCTTCCCCGCACGGTGAGCCCAGACGGAACCAGGGGGCCCCAGAGGTAGAGGAGGGGCGGGAGAGAAGGTGGGAGCTGCTAGGGAGGCGCCCTGGGCTGGAGAGACCCGGGCAGAGTGAGTGGGGGTAGAGGGAGTGCATCAGCCGAGGGGGTGCAGCGGCTGGGGAGGTGGCCAAGGAAGAAAGTACGAGCCGCAGGCAGGTGGTGGAACGTCGGGGAGGAGCGCTTCGGCTAGGGGTGGGAGGCGGGGAGAGGCTGGGCTTCGGGGATAAAGGTTTGGCTGCCTGCAGAGCTGGGTGAACCTGTGGAAGTGACGCTGGGGTCCCGCACTCGGCCGGGTTCCGAGTGCGAGGTCCCAGGCTGGGGAACAGAGCGGGACCCCTCCCCCTGGTCCCCCGCCAGAGGTCTCACTCAGAAAACCCTAACAGTGAGGACTCCTCCCCTTCGCTCCTCCTCTTCTCGGCTTAGTGCGGGTTCGCCTTAGCACAAGCTTTCCGCTCCCACCGCCCTCCTTTGGCTGGGCCAAAGTTGAGAGGTGATCGGCTGTGGTTCTGCAGCTTACGGGGTGGGCGGAATGGAAATGGCACTGTGATGTGCTGCCACGGACTCCCAGTTGGGGGTCCCCATCCAGTCCTGGATGTTTTGTGTCCCTCATCCAGAAGACAGGAGGTTTGCTGTTGTTAAGGGCTGCTCTTTTCTGGGGGAGGGAATGAGAAGGGCTCACCTGGTGGCTGACCTGGGGCACGGTCAGCCTTGGCTTGAGTGTCTGGCATACTGGCTGGGCCCGGATATTTGCGTGTGGAGCCAAGGGGGTGGGGAGGGAAGGAGGGGAAAAGAGCTACCAGCAAAAAAAAGTGGTTAACAGAACAGAGTTGCTGCAGGCTCTGGTTTGAGGCAGGTTATGAAACCACATCAGGGCCTGGCACCAGCAGCCACCTGCCAACTATGGCAGTAAAACTTTTCAGCTCAGCTGCTGTAGACCACTGCCAGCCTCTTCTGTTTCTCCTCATCTAGGGAAGGGGTCACTTGGTTGTTTTACTAATGGAAGTGATGTGTGCCCATAGACACACGAAAGTCTTGAGTGTTTTTTGGCTGCTAGTCCTTTTCTTAGTTTATTGATCTCTTTTTTTCAGGGGTCTCTGGTGGTTTTCTGCTCTCAGGGCACCTAGTGTTTAGGCTTCAGGGAGAAGCGTCTGAGGGTGTCGGCTAGGACCTAAGTCTGGGCTTTTCCTAGGCTTGTCAAGTTTTGTTGGCTGCCCTGTGAAAGCCGGAAAGGGGTATGGGGTCTTGTGATCCGGGATTCCACAAGGCTTTTGGCACTCCGGGACAAATACTAGGAAGGGTTAGTGGGCTTTCTACACCAACAACCCGTAGGGGTGGGTAACAGAGAGGTGATGGGGTGGCAGTTTCCCAGGTCAGACTTGGGAAACTCTCCCTCTCCTTAATCAGAGGTAAGTCCTTCAGATCCCTCACTTCTCAGCTACATGTTGCCCTCCACTCTAAGGTAGAGGCTTTTGTGTAGTAGCTGTCCCAGGGGCTGCTAGAGTAACTGAAGCCCCGAGGCCCTGGGAAGGTAAACAGTCAGGGCCAGCTCTGGCTTTTTAGATCCTTGGATTTCTGTGAGGCTCAATTACCCAGCCTAATGGGCTGTGCTGATGAGTCCCAGGAGTGTCACTTCACCCAGAGTGCACTCCAGGCCGGCGCAGGGGTGTTTGCTTGTTGAGATGGTGTGTTGTGGATCACATTTTCCCTGAAGTCTCTAAGTGTGGAGCTGTCTGAGAAGAGGACACTTGCTCCTGTTATCCTGGAAGTAAAGAACTGACCCCTGAGGATTCAGGCTCCTTTGCGGGTTTGGCTAGGATCCTATCAGAGATAGATGGCATCTGGGACTGAGGGGTCACTGTAGGGGCGTGAGGGAGGTGGCTTTCTGGGTACTTCTATAATATCTCCATCTGGGAGTCTTCTGCATTCCCAGGAAAGATGTTGCTGTTACCATGGTGATGACCTTATGGTCTTTAGCAGGCAGGACCCTACCTCAGATAGGGAGGTGAGCCAGTACACAGGCACCATCTGTCCCCACCTTCTCCTGATCACAGGTCACTCAGGGATCTGGACACAGCCAAGCTCTGGACAAGGGGCAGATCCTTCCCCTCCCTTCCTTCTCTGCTTCCCCCCGCCCCCCTGCTCACTGTGGGTTGTGGCCACCTCCTGGTTCCTCCTGCCACAGGCCTCCTACTGTTGGTGCTGGGCAGGGGAAGGCATGGGCTAAGGTACACCTGGAAACAGGTGCTGAGGGAGACTGAGGTGAGGATGGGTAGGACAGAGAGGAACGGGGACAGGAGGGAGGCCACAGGTTCGGGTCTGTGCCCTTGGGAAGCATATGTTGATGGGGGTTCCAGCTCTCCGTGGGAGCTCTAGGTGTTGGCCACGTTCTCTATCCTCATCCCTCTTGTGGGGAAAAGGGCCCTGGTGGTTTGGCAGCAGAGTGGGTGGCATCACAAGGGCTGGCCTGAGTGGCTGCCAAATGGAAAAAACATCTGGATGGGTTGTTTTGTGTCACCCAGAAGGGGTGCCTTCCAGGTCTGGGCAGAGGTTGTCCCTAGTCTGTTGTTTTCTCATTTCTTCTTCCCTCCCCTCTTCCTTTTTTTTTTTTTTTTTTTTTTTTTTTTTTTTTCTTTTTTTTTTTTTTTTTTTTTTTTTTTTTTTTTTTACCAAATCGCTCCTCCTAAGTTAGGGTTTGGGGAGATCCAGAACTGAAAAAATTGGAGGTGAGCGGAAGCAGTGACCTCAAAATAGTTCATCCACTGCTGCCTGTACCCACAGACCCCACTTCTTTTCCCTCCTGATGGGAAGGACTTCAGAGGAGACATCCCAAATCAGGCCCTCGTGAGAGGAAGTCCAACAGGGGTCATGCTGAGTGAGAACTCTCTGCTGGGGCCTTTGTCAGCAGAGGGCCCTCATGGGAATGCTCTAAGGGGTGAGGCTGGGAGATGGGCCTTGACTTCTCTGCCCTGGCGCTGCATGCCTCTTGATGACCTGTCCTCCAAAGCCCTGCCAGGCCCCTGTCCCAATGGGATGATGCATGGGGCAGCCTGGGGTTTATCCCAGCCCAGTGGCAGGAAATGAGTAGAGCTAAGTCCACGTGGATTTTTTCTACCTTCCATGCTTGAGAGTCAAAAGAGTGGAACTGCCTGGAGTCCTCAGGGAAGGAAGGACCTGCCTTCCAGCTTATCGGAGGGTGAGAGGGGGCAGGGAAAGCCGTGTGACCTGTCTGACCTGTGCTGCTTGTTTACAGAACAGCGGAGAGGGGCGGCAGGATGAATGTGGGCACAGCGCACAGCGAGGTGAACCCCAACACACGGGTGATGAACAGCCGTGGCATCTGGCTCTCTTACGTGCTGGCCATCGGGCTCCTCCACGTCGTGCTGCTGAGCATCCCCTTCGTGAGTGTCCCTGTCGTCTGGACTCTCACCAACCTCATCCACAACATGGTGAGAGCCGGCCTGCTGCCTGCCTCTGCCCTGTGAGCTGCTCTTTGGCAGGGGTGAAGGATAGGAGGAGCCTGCTGGGCTTGGCCCAGATGTCAGGGTGATGTACTGACAACATCTGCTTCAGAGCCCAGGCCCAGCCCTTATCTCTCTGCCTTGCTCCCCGTTCTGCGTTCTTGCCCTGTGCACGATGATAGGAATCAAATCTGCAGATTTGTCCACATGGCCAGGGTGGGGTGGCTGTGGGCCTGGAAGACGCATCCCTGAGAGCTGAACAAAGGGCTCCAGGGAGTTCCCAGGACCCGGGAGTCCTGGTGCCTAGGCTGGTGCAGAAATGCCCTTTTCTCAAGTTTCCTTCGCTAGCCATCTTCCACTCTTGCCCTTCTCTGCTCCCTCACCGTTTGCTACCTTGCACTCTTTGGCTGGTAAGCAGGGGTTAGTCCCATCAGTTTGCCTCCTCCCAGCTGGCACAGCGAGGTTATGAGTGGCCTGGAGGGGCAGCATCTCTGTGCCTGTCTTGTGGCCAGCTCCCCCCATGCGTTCTCATGCCAAGCCTAGCCTGTCCCCCGGGGTCCCCTTGTTCTTCTCCTGCCATTCTCCCAGCTGCTCCATCGTGACCTCCAGCCCATATCCCCCTACCCAGCACAGGGAGGCCCCAGATCACTGGAAGTTACTTCTGTCTGTGACTGGGTGTAGGAGCTGGGCTGGAGGGCCTTTTGCCTTTTATAGCCTCCAACAAAGACGTCTTCATCCAGGGCATGTATATCTTCCTGCACACGGTGAAGGGGACGCCATTCGAGACCCCGGACCAGGGCAAGGCGAGGTTGCTAACCCACTGGGAGCAGATGGACTATGGGGTCCAGTTCACGGCCTCTCGGAAGTTCTTGACCATCACACCCATCGTGCTGTGAGTGCCGGTGCCTCAGGAAGACACCAGCAGGCAGGGCAAGGCCTGGAGGACCCTGGGGCCCAGCCATGCTTATTAGCCCTGCTCTGGCTGCTGGTGTTGGGATGAACAGAGGAAGTTGGAATATTCCTGGGTCTTACACTGGGCTCAGGCTTTGGGCTCCCTGGCCCCGTGTTTCCTCCGTTAGAACCTCTTTCCTGCTAGTGAGATAGGCCCACAGGCTTGGGGTGAAGTTGGGAGGGAGGTTGGCGCTGGTCCAGAAGGGGCGTCTTTAGCCTGAGATCTCTAGCTTCTTAACTCTGGCCTGGAGACCTCTTCTGTAACTCTTTGGCTGTCAGGATTCTGCCTTCCTGCACCCAGGAAGTGAGGGAGGAAGGGGTGCTCCCAGCAGTCTTTTTTTTTTTTTTTTTTTGAGATGGAGTTTTGCTCTTGTTGCCCAGGCTGGAGTGCAGTCTTTTTTATCTCTCCCCACCCTTCCCCTCCCAGGTACTTCCTCACCAGCTTCTACACCAAGTACGATCAGATCCATTTCATCCTCAACACCGTGTCCCTGATGAGCGTGCTCATCCCCAAGCTGCCCCAGCTCCACGGAGTCCGGATTTTTGGAATCAATAAGTACTGAGGGTGCAGCCCCTTCCTCTGCCCAGGGTGACAGGGGAGGGGTAGGGGAAAAGGCCTGTGCTGCGACACTGAAGACAGAAGGAAGAAGCCTCTGGACACTGTCGAGGTGGGGGTTGAGCCTCTGGGCCTAGTTTCCCCCCTCATTTCCCCCAGTAGCCAACTTGGAGTAGCTTGTAGTGGGGTTGGGGTGGGGCCCCCTTGGGCTCTGACCTTTTCTGAATTTTTTGATCTTTTCCTTTTGCTTTTTGAATAGAGACTCCATGGGGGTGGTCACGGAATCGGCTGGGCTCCTGGGCTGACATGGACCATGCATTGGGACAGGAGGCGGGGTGGGATGGGGGAAACCCCTGCTCACTTGTTTCAGGCAGCCAAAGCACTTTAACCCCTGCGTAGGGAGCCGAGGGTGGTACGGCTTCTGGACTGTTTCACTGTAATTCTGAGGTCTTTTCGATGACACGCAGTGTGTGCTTGTGTGTATGAAAGCAAGCGTGGGACGGGGCCTTGCCTTAAACCTTCTGGGCAGAGAGCTGTCTAATCCGAGTTTTGGGCTTTCGGCAGCTTCCCTGCGACCCACCCTGGGTCCTGGTTGGGAGTGGGGAGGGTCAGGTGGGAGGAAGATGGGGTGGAGCGTGGATGGCTTGGTCCCAGAGGTAAGGGGGCCAGGGCTGCTGCCATCCTGGCCTGTTAGAGGTTGGGGAGCTGCAGCGGGGATAGGGAGTGGAGAGTTAGAAGAATGGGGCCACGGAGCAGCAAAGCACCGATGTAAGGGAGGGAGGGGACGGGACAGCAGCTAGACCCAGTCTTCTTTGGGATGTGGGCAGGGAGGGAAGCAGGCTTGGAGGGTTATTTTACCCACAGAGTGTGATGGTAATCGGGGAAGGAGGCTGCTGTGGGCTTAACTCCTGAGTGGGCTGTTGGGTGGACAGGTGGGGAAGAGGCCCACGAGTTGTTGTTAGTACAGGTCCGACTTGGCCCTGACTTCTGTAGGGTACAGGGAAGCTGTGACAAACGATGGCTGCTGTGGTCCTCTGCAGGCCCTCACCCCTTCACCACCTCGTGTAGGCTGGCACTGGGCAGGGCCTCTCTTGTGGCAGGCACATGTGGTGCTGTGAGGCCACCCCACATGGGGTCAGTGGCAAGAGTCCTGTAGGACCTTTGGTCAAGCAGCACAGGGGAAGGAGCCAGGCGTGGCCTGTAGGTGCTGTCTCAGCCTGCAGAGAAGAAAGAGGCCGGGAGCCTGAGCCTGGGCTGGAGCCTTCTCCCTTCCCCTGGCTGACTAAGGGCAGTGTTAATTCTGAAAAGGCGTGGGTACCTGTATCCTCTTCCAGGGTCCCGGGGGAGCAGGAGAGGTCACTGGCCCTGTTTTCTGCCTCCTGGCCCTGCATCTCCCACCTCATGTATCATAGGGAACTTTCACCTTAAAATCTTTCTAAGCAACGTGTGAATAGGATTTTTACTCCCTTTGTACAGTATTCTGAGAAACGCAAATAAAAGGGCAGCGTGTTCCTGTTTCCCTGTGTCTGGCCTCTGCTTCCTGGAAGGTTGAGGGGAGGGGGCAGGGGTGTGGGCAGAGCTTCTGCTGAGGCGCTGGTGGGACATCAGTGCAGCTCTGATGGTGGCAGAAGGGGCTCCGGGACTGCTGGGCTTTGTGCTGCCTTCAGCAGGGAAATCCCCCAAGGGGGCTACGAGGGAACTGACAGTGGCAGCAGTGGTCAGACAGCAAAATTTTCTGTGCTTTTGCCTGACTGTTCTCTGACAGGTCTTGTACCTTGGCTCCACAGGCTGGGGTGACTTGTGCCATGGCCAGGGAGGGGGCAATCCAGCAATGGTTTACACATGGAGCCAGGGTCCCAAGTGGTGCCCACACCTTCCTGATGAGTCCCCTAGCCCTTCTCCGGTTTCTCACTTCTCTCTCCTAGGCCTTTCCCCAGTCATGTCTCCCGTGGGAATGCTGCATTTCCTTCTGACCTTTCAGTGTAGGGAGTTTTCATGCTTCCTCCTCCCACCATAAGCCTGAGTGACAGGGGAAGAGGTAACCCCTGGGGACTTTCCAAGGCCAACACGGCTAAGAGAGAGAGGAGTCTTATAGCAAGGAATCCTTATCTCCCGAGGGCACTGACCGTCCAGCGTATTGTGGGCAGTATCAGCTGCTATTCTCAGGACAGGCACAAAGTCCCAGGTAGAAGGGAGGAGCTGCCCCATCTCTGGCCCTGGTCCAGCATCACAGCACCCTTGGAGTGAGTGTCAGGAAGAGTGTGGGATATGTGGCCAAGTCCAGCCACCACCCCTCTCTGAGTAGGGCCCACACAGTACTGGGAAGAGAAACATGGCTGCTCCTCTCACTCCTGGGAGTAGGGGTGCCCTGGATGCTTTCACCAGCCTGCAAGAGTACAGTCAGCATGAGATACTGGGGAACATCTACAATGATCTGGGTTCAAATCCCAGCTCTGCCACTTATTAGCCACGTTGCTTTGTCAACTTTTCTGAGCTTGAGTTGCTTCCGCTGATGTGTAAGGATAATGCCTCTTAGGGCCGTTGTGAGCATTAGCACAGTGCCTGGCACATAGTAAATAATGTATGGTAGCCATATTATTATTATTGTAATTGTTACCACCACCACTGTTGTCTGTCTGTTAATTTATTATTTATTTGTGTGTTTATTGTAGCCCAGGCTGGAGTGCAGCAGTGCACTTTTGGCTCACAGCAACCTCTGCCTCCCAGGTTGAAGCGATTCTCCTGCCTCAGCCTCCTAACTAGCAGGGATTACAGGTGTGTGCCACCACATCTGGCTAATTTTGTGTGTGTGTGTGTGTGTAGAGATGGGGTTTCGCCATGTTGGCCAGGCTGGTCTTGAACTTCTGGCCTCAAGTGATCTGCCCACCTTGGCCTCCCAAAGTGCTGGAATTATAGGCAGAGCCACTGTGCCTGGCCTCTGTCATCTCTTTAAATGTTCTTTCAGAACTGAGGTATGCAAAGGCTGGAAGACAGGCTGGGCTCACCCGGGTGGTTATCTCTGAGAGAGGACATGGGTGAGGCCAGAGGCCTGGCTCCCTGGAGAAGGAAGTAGGTGGAGAAGGTGGGTGGCATCCAGATAAGGAAGACCAGCATGTGTACATGGGAGCATGGGATGGGGAGGGAGGCTGAGTGTGCCTTACAGGCCCACCCTGTTCTTTCCAGGTGTTAGCTGCTGTTGTCCTGGGTCTTCACTGTGGACCACAGCATGGCATTTGGGCAGCTGTTTCTGCTGGCTTACTGTCCACATGTCCTGGGCATGGCCATAGCCATTGCCTGCTGGCACTTGATACCCACCCATATTCAATTTCTCTATTCCAAATACACTGGATTGCATGGCCCAGCGTGCCGTGGTGTGCACCATTGTCTGGCCCAAACTCACCTCAAATACATATCAGGATCTCCTGCCCACTCCTTGGGTCCAAGAAGAAGAAGGAGTTCTGGCCTTATCTGCCTCCAGATCAGTTATAAGGTGGCTTATCTAAAGGCTTGGGAAGTGGGGCGCCCAGCCCTACTCACCTGTCCTTGTACCTGGACAAGTTTCAATTTCATTATTTTAGCTTCCTGAGATTCAGAGGCCAGGAACTGTGCAGAGATCTGCAGAGGGGATCCTCGCAATTTCCATTCTGTTGAACAGCTGAGGTCGGAGAGGAGGTGGGTAGCACCTGAGATGGGCACCCTTTCTAGATACCTAAAATTCCCAGGTTGGTAGTGAATTGAGGGTCAATCACCATGTTGGGGGCAGAGGCAAGAGAAGGGAACCGTGAGTGGATAAGTGCCTGGGTCAGGCAGAAGGGATCTAGGGTAACGTGGCCAGAGGCAGGATGAGGAAGTGAATCCCAGGAAGCTTTTGTTTCTTCTGAGGCTTACTTACCACCACCTCATAAATGGTTGGTAGGGAGGCACCCATCCAACTGCCTTGCAGAATGCAGCAAGACAGAGAGCCCAAGAATCAGAGCCAAGGGAAAACGATCAGTTGAGGTTAGTAATGTGAAGTCTGGCAGCCATGCCCATTGTCCCTCCCTGGTTCCTCTGTTCATCAACATTGGGGTGGGTCTGGCTGGGGCATGGTGGGCCTGCCTTTTCATCCCTCAGCCCCTTGTTCCAAGGGGACAACTCTGCTGTGGGAGATGTAGAAAATGGGTCTCACTTTCCCTATTTGGGGTAATAGCTGCTACTTTTTTCCTCCAGGTGGGTTCCATGAGAGGCAGAGGAGAATCTGGGATCTGTGATGTTTACCCCTCTTTACTGAGTCAGGGCTGCCTCGCCTTCTAGAAGTAGGGTAGGGAAATCATTCCAGGTCCTGGTCGTCCCGGAACCTTTGGCTCTTCCTTGACCTCAGGCTGCCAAACGGGGAAGGTTGAAATATTCGAACCAATTCCCTCCTCCCCAAAACTGAAATTGACTTCTGTTTCCCAGCTGGTCCAGGCACAATGGTCAGCACATTTGAGGAAATCACGAGTTGTAGTTCAGGAAATGGATGCTGGAGCGGGTATGATTGCCGTTAGAAGCCTCACTGATGCTGGTAGATTACACTGCTTCTGTCTGGTGAGGGAGAAGGAAAGTTTCTTTGGATGCCAGTACTACATGACAGACCTCACCCTCGTGGACATTCTGGAGAAAGAGGAAGGGGACGAGCTGTTAGATGAACCAGATTCTGGGCTCCAAGGTCAGTATAAGGTGGATGAGAGGTGTCCAGCCAGGAGGCCCTGACCAGTTGTACTCCATCTCCTTCTTAATTCCCCATTGTTATCAACCATATCAACCAATCAACAACAAAACTGTGGAATTTGTACACATCCACACACCTTAAGAAATGCACAGAAAAGCATGGTGGGAGGAGAGTGGGAGAGATGGAGATGTATTTACATTGGAAACCATTCCTGAATGCCCTTCCTTTTCCATTTTTTTTCCCTTGTAAAATAATCTACTTTTAATTTAGCTGAGCTCTTCTCATGTATATATCATTTAAGTGGATAAGTAATGAAGGCAGTTTGCTGACTGGTTAAGAAAGAATGCAGGCTTTAGGGCTGGAAGCACCTGGTTTCAAAGCCTGACTCTGCCTCTTATCAGCTAGGTGACCTTTGGAGAAGTTGTTTTATTGCTCTAAGTTTGTTTCCTCATGTGTCAACTGTAGAGGACTGTTGTAAGACTCGAATGAGAATAAATTACATGAATCATTTGTTACAGTGCCTGCCTCAAAAGGAGCACTCAGTAAAAGTTGCTCCCATCATCTGGTGGTGGTGGTGGTGGTGATTCTCATTACCCTTTCATGTTCCCTGGATATCACGACTGAAAGGAAAGTTGCTGACGAGCAGAAATCCCTAAGGTATTGAGGGAATTTACGGAAGAGTCAATGATTCCATCCCCCTGCCTCTGATCTCAGTTATTCCTGGGGTACTTGGGTTTCAGAAGCCCCAGGGTAAGTGTTGAGGCTCTCACTTGGAGCCCACACTGGAATATGGTGAGGAGTTCATTATATTTTATAATGTGAAAAAATATTTCATAATATGAAAAATGGCAAGGAGTTCATAGCTTAGTCCCCTCTGATACAGTCCATTTTCTAGGGTCCAGCCCTGCAGGGTTCTGTGAGCCCCTCTCTACTGGTGTGGAGACGAGAAACTGTGGAAATAAAAGACACAAGACACCAAGAAAGAAAAAAACAGAGTTTGTGCCTGGGGGTCCACTGCCAACCAAAGCATGGAGTCCAGCAGTGGACCCGAGTGCCTGGACTCTCTGACTTTTACTGAGTACAAAGCAGGGGGCAGGCAAGGTAAGGTGAGGGAATGGTGGTCAGTGATAGGGTCAGGTAAATCACGTGTCTTGGAGATAGGGGTCCCAGGACTTTCAAGTAGCTGAGATAAGGAGAAAACCTAATGCATCAGCACTTTTCACGTATTTGTCAGAAATATCAAGGACATTAAGATTATGTTACTATTATTAATTCTTATCTTCTAAGAAAAAGAGAAACCAGGTGCAGAGGTGGAGCGTGAGAGTGGACATGGAACGTGACCGCTGAAGCACAGCGTCACATAGAGACAGTTAAATGCCCGGATGTTTGTGGGTGTCCCTGACAGCCGTCAGGCCTACTGCAAGAGCTTGGGGGAGCGGAGTTTTCTCCTAACTCCCCCGAGGAAGGAGGCATCTGGCCATTTTGGACATCTCCTTCCCTAGCTGGCTAAACAGCAGGCGCTTTCCCAGCACTGCTGCTGCCTCACAGCTGAGGCACCCTCCAGCATGCCTGTCACGCCCCCTCAGTTCCATGCTTCATAACCGATAATCATTAGTAAAATTAAAGTTATATTGAGTATATATCTTTATAATTATAAGTAACTATAAGATTATATAGAATTATATAAAGGAATAAGTATGTGCTTCTATTTCTAATTCTTTTTTTTTTTTTTAAAGACAGGGTTTCACCATGTTGGTCAGGCTGGTCTTGAACTCCCAACCTCAGGTGATCCACCCGCCTTGGCCCCCAAAGTGCTTGGATTACAGGC